TTAGAAAGATATCTTTCTGGTTAAGTAAAATAAATAAATAAATGAATAAAAACAAATAACCAGAAACAAATATATTTAAAAATATTTCAAAACCAGTAGCAAGTGGAAAACGTTTAAAACAAACAGAATAAAAGATTTAAAATTGTCTGAACTTTTCTCATTATTTTAAATGTTTTAAGTTTGTTCATTTTGGACAAAAAAACTTGTCTATCCTGTTAAAGGKTCCCCTCCGGACATGGGTTTTCAACTTTAATTTGAAACATGATAAAATAAAATTTTACGTTTATTTTAAAGTAGACGTTTGATGCTTTTAAATCCTTCTTTTTTACATTTAAATCATTAATTTAGGGTCTTCATAAAGAGGAACTACAAAGCTTTGGTCTGAATTTCTCCTTATTTGAGCAGCTTTTGTTACTGTTCCTTTAAGGTGCTTCAAGTCCCGCCCCCTCCTGCTTCCAGACCGATCCACTCCAGTTTGATAAAGGGGGTTACGTTTTCTGGCTTGTAGAAACATTTTATTTACAATTTATTTAAAAGACCCATCACCTCAGCTGCCTCGAGTCAGAGGTTTAAAGTTTTTCTTGGATTCCTGTCAGATTCTCGTCTCGTTGGTTTTAATTTTATCAGATTTTTTTTATAGTTTTGCTTCCTTGTTGTTTAAAAGTRATGTTCTGTAATTTCCTTCTGTTTATAAAATCCCTGATGAAGGAGTGAATCTACTGTTACTCCTCTCAGATTAAATCCTAATTTGATCCGTCTTCCTCCTGGATGACTCCATGAATCGAGGAGACGTGTGTTTTGATGACTCAGCTTCTTCTCGCTCGTGTGAAAAGTTGAAAAAAAAAGCTGCGGCGCCGGGCCCCCRTGGGCCCCCGTGGGCCCCGTTCAGACACGCAGGCTGAAAACGATTCGCAGAGAGAGGAGAGGAGCCAGGCTGAGCGGGTCAAACGGAGATCAGAACACAGAGAAAACAGGATTCAGACTGTCGCTGTGAGGGAAAATCAAACCTGTCAGATCATTTCAACATTTAGAATAAAACTCTGTGGTGATAAAAATGAGAAACAAACAAAAAAACAACTGAAAATGTGACTTAGATTATGTTCCAAACACTTCCTGTGCATCTTGTAGTTTTCAGTTTGTGTAAGCTGTTGTTAAAAACAGGTTTTTTCTTTGCGCAGCCATCGAGCCCTGCATGGACAACGAGCTGAACGAGTTCCCTCTGAGGATGAGGGACTGGCTGAAGAACGTCCTGGTGACTCTGTACGAGCGCGACGAGGACAACAACCTGCTGACAGAGAAGCAGAAGCTCAGGGTGAGAACAGACTCTGAACCTTGACTCTGGATTGTTGACTCCAGACATGGAAAAAGGTCATTCTGCTGCTGTCCTTCACAGAACTGCTTAATGCTGCGTTCACACCGAACGCGATTTCAGCTTCAAAATCGCAGCCAACGCTGAAGTTTGAAGCTTGTGCACTTTGAGGTCAGACGCAGGACA